GGTTAGAGTTATTTATAGACCAGTAATGGTGAGTGTTAACTATAGACCAGTAATGGTTAGAGTTAACTATAGACCAGTAATGGTTAGAGTTAACTATAGACCAGTAATGGTTAGAGTTAACTATAGACCAGTAATGGTTAGAGTTAACTATAGACCAGTAATGGTTAGAGTTAACTATAGACCAGTAATGTTAGAGTTAACTATAGACCAGTAATGGTTAGCGTTAACTATAGACCAGTAATGGTTAGAGTCAACTACAGACCAGTAATGGTTAGAGTTAACTATAGACCAGTAATGGTTAGAGTCAACTACAGACCAGTAATGGTTAGAGTTAACTATAGACCAGTAATGGTTAGAGTCAACTATAGACCAGTAATGGTTAGAGTCAACTATAGACCAGTAATGGTTAGAGTTAACTATAGACCAGTAATGGTTAGAGTCAACTATAGACCAGTAATGGTTAGGGATAACTATGCTCGCTGCTGCCTCAAGGTCAGAAACCAACTGCTCTGTGTTCGGGGATGGCAGGAGGAGGAGGAGGAGATGGATGGGCAGAGAGAGCTGCCAGAAACAGTCTGTCAGCCATCTGTGTGTGAGTTATCCTCCACTTTGCTGATCGGACCCCGGGGCCGTTCTGCATTTTGAACGTTCATGACCTCACCAGAGACAGAACTGATGCTCGCGTGGTTTCTGCTGACCAAGGTCACCCACTAACCCCCCCAGCCTCCTCCTCCATCCTGTCACCACACAGCCACGGACCTGCCGATAACCTGTTAGCAAAATATTTACCCAACCACTGGGCAGATTTTAACAAAACTAACTGGTTACCACTGAGCAAATTTTAAAGTGCCCGTGACATGCATCTCACTCAAATACAAAAAGTCAAAGAAAAACATCTTCTTATTTAAGTAACTTGGCATAATACACACAATTTTACCCATTTTGTCACAAAACTGGCAGATTTTCTTCAGATTTTGGCTCAGCCAAAGTGAAACAGGCAGTGACATCAAAGGGGTATTCTTTAAGAAATTAAACTGTTTTTCTTTTTTTTATTGTAACAATATAATTTGAACTGCCTCTCCTTGGGCTGCTACCTTATCGTGGTGGAGGGGTTTGAGTGTCCCAATGATCCTAGGAGCTATGC